GACAGGAGACCAAACCAGGTACTTCTAAAGAAGTCTAGAAATACAGTTACGGATATCTAGTTTCCTCCCTTTTACTGGCTCCCTCTCCCAAATCTCGACATCTAGCGAAGTGGGCACCTGAAAACCTAACGCTCACTCTACTGCATATTCAAACAACTACAGTAACGAAGGAAGAGGAGACCTAACTCCTCCTCCCTCTTCCCTTCCCATTAGGAGACTCTGAACAACCAGAGGATTAATGTATCAACATCCCACTTCCTTGTTGTCCAGCTGGTTTGTCTGACAGTTGGGTAGAAGACCGATGGTTCCTTTTGTCTCTAATTCCACTACTTTAGCATGTGTTCCTTTAAATCCCTGTTTTGATCAAACCACTTCCTCCCCACGCGCCAAACACAGGAGGGCCTTGACTCTCCAGGATCTAAAAGATCCTGATGACCATTCACCAGACACCTTTTTGTGTTTGTGGTGAAGGAGAATTCCTTCTTGTGGAGAGGAGCGGGGAGGTGATCCAGTTAGGATATGCGAACCAAATAAAGGGAGTGAATGAAAGGTATCAGGAGAATTTTCAGCCACTTTTCCTAGATGTCTTCAGAACATGCCTATCACCAGATCAGCACTTCCCACAAAGCTTAACAGCTCAACTGCAGCCAGGTTAGACAAGATTCTAGAGTGATTTAATTAAACTAGAGTCAAACAAACTCAGCAGCAGAGTAAAAACTCACCTTCTCCAAAGCAGACCTCAAAAGATACAGAACTGGGGACTTCCCTGGTGGCACAGTGGTTAAGACTCCGTGCTCCCAATGCAGGGGGACCGGGTTCGATCGCTGGTCTGGGAACTAGATCCCACATGTATGCCGCAGCTAAGAGTTCGCATGCCACAACTAAGGAGCCCGCCTTCCACAACTAAAGACCCAGTGCAACCAAATAAATAAATAAATATTAAAATATATATATATACTTTGGCTAAGGCCGTGGAGTCCTATGTAGAATCCCTTGGGGGAATGGGGTAAAAATGTGCTATTAAAAATCATAATAACTGTCTGTGAAGAATTTTAAAAGCCAAATAAATACAACCGTTTAGGTAATATGCCCCCAAAATGGGTAAAGTTATATATATATATATATATATATATATATATATATATATATATAAAGATACAGAAATGTAATATGGAGACTCTAGAGCCATTTACTTAAGCCTTGGCTTAGGGATCAGAAATGGAAGGAAGAAAAATTAGGTGCAGTCATCAAATTCTGATCTTTGCCTCAAATATCTGATGTTACTACAGCTAACAGCTTCTAGCCCCATTCACTGACTTTGTGAACTCTGAAGCTCATGGAGGGGGAACAAGTATTTTCTGGACACTTACAAGGACTGTTTAAGTGACACAACTATTGCAACTGCTCCTGTGAAGAAGTGTGATTAAAGAAGCTTTCTGCCTGTACTGATAAGATTGCTGTTGCCATAATACAGCTCGTACGCTATCTTAGTTTCTCCTCTCTGAAGACCTACTCCTTACTTTTCCCAGGGTTTAAAAGTCATGTTAACAATAAGCAAATACAGCATGGCCAGATGCCTTTCGTGGTCAGATGGTTCATTGTTTAAAAGGCTTCAGTTTAAAATCCAAGATTGTTAACAGATGCAGTTTCTGGCTGAAGACTGGGAAAAACCTCACTTAAACAAAAGAGCATGTTGTGATTGGAACTAAAAAGGGAATTACCTTTAAAGATAAGAACCACAAACATTTCCTATTTGAAAATACCCCCAGCCCCACCAAAAGAACCTTTATTTGGACCTTTCGTAAAAGTTGAAAAAATTGACAGCGGATGGCTGCATAGGACGAACCACGGCTGACCAACCAGCTCAGTCATTTTTACAGATTTGTTTGGACTTTCAAGGCTGCGACATCCATCTCCTGCTCTCCCCCGGATTACTCAATTAGGCAAAATTCCAATTAATTTCTTTCCAATTCTTTTAGCCCCAGAAATACTTTTGCAGTTTTCATTTTGGCTCTGGAAATGGGTTTTCAACCAGAGGACTCAGATAGAGCCATTTGAGAAATGAACACAGAGCTTGATAAGCAGATAGCCACTGCTGGGACTCAAGTCTCTACTGGATGGAAAAGAGCCACTTGGCCAAGGAAGGCCTGGCCCCATCTTCAGTTCCCAGCCCCGTTTGTCTCCACAACTGCTGTGCACTTTTACACAGAAAGCCTGCTTTTCACCAACTCTGTTTCTGTTGGCGTTCGTGGGCCCTTACTCTATGGCTTCACTATGTGTGAGAACATCTCCGATGCCCTAGGTTCTAATCTTGAAAGATGGAAAGTCTGAAGGAGCCATAGGGGTGTAGCTTTCCCTCGGCCTGAGCAATAGATGTGGTCAGGCTTGCTGGTGACATGTCTGATTTGGAAAGGTTACTCAAGAGATGGTCCAAGGAAAACACTCTGTTCTTGGCGTTAAGGATGGCCACCATGGGTTTCCTTCGGAGAATGGGCAACCTGTCCTGAAGGAGATCACCTTCTCGGAAGAGAGGCAAACATCGTGCCCTTTTCGTGCTTAGAGTTTTGTGTTCTCTTATTCATTGTGCTATTTCCCGATTTATTACGGGGCCCCAGGAGGTCAGTTTCAGACCAAAGGCACAGCATAGTTTTAACAGTCTGAAAAGCTCTAACCAAGAAAATCCTTAGTCAAGCCGTTTTAATGTGAGGCAGATCTATAAACCCATGGGATTCCCCAAAGAGTTAAGATGGCTTTCCCACTCAGCCACACCACTGCTAAGTCATAAAAGGAATCCAAGCTGCTGGAATGAAGCTAGCAGGAGAACTGCATTTCCAAAGATCTGTGCAATCCGGCCAGGTACTCGCAGGAAGAGCCCATCCGTCAGGAAATGAGATTTTGAGGCCAGTGGCCACAACCATATCCATCCTCCTACAAAAAGCCAACCCGCCACGCACACAGGAGGCAAGGTTTGCAAGGGGATTTGATAGGCCTGGAAATTGAAAAACGAGCAGCAGCTGTGAGCCCGAGGTCATTCCTATCCTCCAGGGTTTGCCTTTTCTAATCTAAGGGGCAGTAGTTTCCATGATTAACTTTCAATTGCCGTCAAGGGTGTAATAAAATCTGGGAAAGAAGAAAACTTTCCCTTCAGTAAGCTGCTCCCATTTTCCTGCCCTTTCCTTTCCTCTAGTGCATATTCTCAATCCCCGCTTCATGTTGTTTCCTAATTTTGAGAAAAAAATCTGCGCTCGGATGAGCCAAAATAGACAATGTCCTGTGTGTACTCAGGCACTTAAGGACTTTCTCAGTTCTAGGGGCCAGGTCTTGAAGACAGCTGCAGTTCTCTTGTTTTCAAGACCATACACTACCATCACTTTCAGAACAGGACATGACACATTTTTATTTTCATTTTAAAATTCTTTCATTTTAAAATCTGTTTTCTGAGCCGTTGACCATCAGTTCCACAGAAGAGAGGCTTTCTAGGTGGTAAGATGTGCACAGAGAGAAAGAGGAGAAGAGGATATACTCATTCACAAACGCATCTTACTGGTTACCACGGGGTTAGGAACCCTTAATGCTCCAAATTGATCTGATCTGATAGTGGCTCAGAAATCATCTTGAAAGGATACAGCTGGACACGTCTCTCAGCAAAGGCCCCGGGAACCAAACCCCACACATGGTTTTATCAATTACAATGGCTCAGGTGGAAAATTAAATGTGCTTTAGATTGTTTGAGAGTTCAGTATAACACTCATGACAACTCGGTGGTTCATTCATCCTACCTTTGCTTCCAAGTATCAGATGCTGGCGTTACAAAGGTTATAAAGCCTGACGGGAAAGGGGCACATGCAGGCTCACTGCTGGAGAGATGCTCCCGGGCGGGGGGCATGCCAATTACACAAGGTGGCAAAGGGTGGGGGGCAGCCATGGGGGTAAATGGAGGTCCCCAAATGCATCCTAGTCCCCTAAGAAAAGGTATCCCTGGCTGACACCGTGTCTTGACAAGATACTGGATTGTTATATTTTGTTCCTGTTTCCCTGCTTCCAGAGGTTAGTAATTGAGTGCCCACTCCTGTTGGAGAGGTAACATTTTTCTTAGGTGCTAGCTCTGCCTTTCCCACTTCCCTGTCTTGATTTAAGTCTCTCCTAGAACAGAAGGAAAAGTGGCAAAAGGTGGCCATGAACAGAACTGGTTCCAAAAATGGGTGAGAGAACAGTCTAAGAATTTGCCACAGGGGTTTAAAAGATGGCATAGTGAGCTTTACTGAAGGAGATACAGTCCATAGGGTGATGCCTAGTGCTAGGCTAGGGAATAGTTCGGTTTTTTTTGCTGGCCCCGATACCCTTTCTCTCTTCCTCCAAAGGTACTAGAACCCCCTGCTTTTATGTGTGGATGACTGCCCAGAATAAGACTGCATTCCTGGCAGGGGAGTGTGGCCATGTAGCTAACAGTGCGATGTGAGGGGAATTCAGGTCTGTAACTTCCGGATGTGGCCCTAAGAGTAGGGGCGTGGGGAGCCTGTGCCTCCCCCTTTCCTCCACCCCTAGTCTGGAATGTGAAATGGCTGGAGAGCCACCCCACAGCATGAGGACGGGCCACACCTTAGAGATGGCGAAATGGAAAGTTGTTAGAAGGGAGTCACAGAGGGCTGTAAAAACCACAATTGTGAAACCACAGTGTTAGTTCTCACCTACCTACACACAAACTTTCATGTGAAGGACAAGGGAAAAACACTCCAGTCTTCTGTAAGCTGATGTTATTTTGGGTCCCATTTATACAACGTTATGAATAATGGTGTGAGGTGCGGGGTGCAATGAAGTGTTGATAAAAACAACATCCAAGGAGCTGGCCCTTTACTGCATGTAGCACCGAGGCCACAACACATTCAATCTGGTTTTTACCTTACAAAGAGCTGCCTGAATTCTGGTGGTGAAATGGGAGAGCAAAGGGCATTCCAAAATAATCATTTTCCAGTTAACCATAATCATAATGAATAGCTTACCTTTTTCTTGCTACAGTATATTTGCCATTTTTTCTCTGCTGGAAGTGCAAACATGGCTTCCCTGTGTTTGTCTGTGAGGTCGAGTTCATCCTGAGAAGAAAAATAATAATAATTATTTCACAGATTAAATGTTATTCCTATAAGGGAAGTTATCAACATTATCAGGGTGAGAAAACAACACCAACACATATTTAAATGAACTTGGGAAAAACCAAGAAGCTAAGTATAGGTGTATGTTACCAGCACTAAGAAAGCAGGTCCTTGGCCTGGGGCTAGGCACCAAGCACAGTAAGAGGGACAGGCACAGCCCTACATTTACTGAAGGGTAGGGAAA